CTTCCTAAGGGCAAGGAAGCAAGAGCGGAGCGACAGGGACCAGAAGCCACAAAGTAGCAAGCTTTGAAAAAGAAAAAAAAAAATGGCTAAAAAAGTGTGGTGGAGTGAGCAGTTTGTGTTATTGTTCTTTTCGTAGTTTGTGTTGTTACGCGCGCCAACAATTGTAGACGTTCGCGCGTTTCCCCTTTGCTTTCGATGCCGGGGGTCACCTTTCTTCAACTGTTCAGGAGTTAGTGACGTGCGCGCGGGCATAAGTTAGGTGCGCGAGCGCACGGGGGCCCGTAACTTTGACTCCATTGCCTCCTAAAGTTGTCCTCGATTGTAGTGCTGTGTGTGTGTGTCTTGGGCTCGTTTTTTGTAGTTGCGTATTTCTCTATTTGAACCTCTTTACATTCATCAGCTCATTGTTTCTAACCAAATAAATTTTCTCACAGTACTCGACATGCGCGGTAACTCGTTTCCTGAACGACGAACTATCTGCGCATTCTCGAGCTATTCCCTGAAAGCACCACCATCTTGGCGTGTCGTCACAAATATGAATCAGCGTGTTTTTGTTTTCGCGCGATACTTAATTGAATGCAGCCTGCTTAATTATTTTGAATTATTGTAATTAGTAGTACAAACTTAAAAAAAAACAACAAAAAAACTAGGGATATAAAGGTAAGTTCGTCGCTTCTGGTACCGCGTCTGCGCGGGCGACGCATGCTGCCTCTACTAAATTAATCTGGAAGTCAGCGAACCGATCAGTTAGTCATACGTGGCAACAGAGCGATAAGCCACAAACGCTGGCGAACAAGTGAAATCCATCATTCTTAGGAACATTTGTTGTTGTTGTTGTTTTTTAATTAAAAAGCAAGATAAAACTTTTTTTTAACGCTTGGTATTTCTGGTGACTCGTCACCCTGCTTTTCCCCAAATGTGATCCTATTTACCGTATCCTTCGTGTATAAGTCGCCGTTTTTCTCCTTTAAATTTCCGTCGGTGCGTCTTATACAATGGTGCGACTTATATGCACTTTTTTTCCTCTAAAGTGTATACCTTAAATGTGCAAGCAGTAAGCCGTATTGGAATTTAAGACAAAGACGGAACTGGCTCCCACCTTCGCATACTAAATTGCTCTCACGGTACACTCACAATGCGGTTTTGCCGGTGCAGTTTCGCCGCGCCGACCGTACAAAGACGCGCGACTTATATACCGACTTTCTCGCGAAAACGGCCGTCTTATATAGGAGTTCTGCGACTTCGAAGCAACTAAGATACGGCATTCCGCCGAAATTGTCAGAACTATAGTCACCGAGAACTTGAGGAACGCAGGCCGTGACGAGTTCCCGAGCATACGAACGCCGAAGATCGAATCACGAAACAAGAAGCGTCAGATAATGAGCCACTCCACGGGTTTCTCAAGTTTTCAACGACTATAGTGTTTGTCTCGGTGGCAATCGGACGACGCTGCTACCATTACGCGTACACACACCGACGCGAATCGCTCGAGAAAGACTATAATAGTATTCCCAGGCGCGAATGGCTGCGGTTTTTTTTTTTTTTTTTTCAGGTCCGAGTATGCGCTCGAAGTCTCCGTCGACATCTTCTCTGTTCTTCACCAGCCGATGCCCCGACGACGCAGCTCCGTTCCATCGACAAAGCTTTCCTCGCGCGATACGCGAACGAAAACGATTTCCCACTCTAATCCCACCCCGGTGCCTGACCCTTCCGCCCGCCCCCCTTACACTCCGCACTCCATAGACGCGCACAAAAACGTAATTACAGAACCGAGTCGATATGCAAATTGGAAACACGCGTTACAACGCTCTTTCGCGAATCCTCCCCTCTCCCCCACCTACTATATATTTCCTTTCTCTCCCTCTTTTATGTTGTATTCTTATTGTATAAGTCCGACGGCAGAAACTAATCTCAAAACTAAAACTGCAAAAATTACGGGACGGCTGAGAGAAACATAAGAGAGAGAGAGTGTGTCTTCGTAATTTACGACAGGATTTGGGGGGGAAGGGGGGGGGGGGGGCTTTGGTAGTCTGTTCTTAGTTATTTTGTTGTTCTTTCCTATAGTTGGCTGTTTGTTTAAAGGTAGAAGGGCGCGTTTCAAATGCACAACGGGATCAAGTGGAGTTGGAAGACGGAAGGAATTCCCCACATGCTGGTTAAAAAAAAATAAGGGGGGAGAAGGTTTTTGAGAGGGAGGGGTGAGATAGGTGAGTCTCTCCTCGCGTAGTGTGTCGCGTACACACGTGGGAAAAGACGCGTGCGTGCGTGCGTGCTGCGTCGATCGATAGGCAATTTCAAGGCTCCTGTTCTGGAGCGTGCGAGAAAGGACGTCCCACCCCCTCCCCACGAGTCCCTGATTGAAAGCCCCAATATCGGCGGAGTCGGGGATCTCTCCCACGTGAGCGCTCTGCGGCGACTCAAGGTCGGCTTCACCTGCAAACACCGCGTTTCGGCGGGAAAGACATCCTGCTGTCGCTTTTGTTTGCTGGTGGCAGCTTTAATGTCAAACGCTCGACGGTATCTTTTTTTTTTTTTTTTTTTTTTATCTAGAAGCAGACATTCATCATCTCATGTTCAGGGTGAAAACTACCTCCCTATTATTCTTCGTGTTGTGAAATAAGAAATTGAAACAATGCAAGTATATGCCGCTCGAGTCCCAACATAGCAGCCCATAACATATTAAAAGAAATTTTTTTTTCTTCTTTTACTCGGCGTTACTTCCTAAGCAAGCGTGGGTCTTCGCAGCTTGCTACATAAAATGTGCAAGAGAAGGTCCGCCTCCAGTAAGCGCTTGCTGCCTTCTGTTGTGTTTCGACTACAGAAGTGCCGCACTGTTATTCAAGGTAGAAACCGCGCGCTGGGTGCCGAGCTTCTCACGCGTCAAGTAAACTTCCTTCCGGAATCTCCAGGATGCTGTCTTAACGTGCCTTTTCTTAGGGTTAGATGCTCCATCAGAGTTCCGGGTGTTCTTCCGAGGTGCGATTTGTTAGCTTCCATAGTGAGAACTTGTTCCACGTGGAGTTTCGTGGCAGTGCACTTTATGGAGAAGTTGGCTTAACACGCATGGGCTTCGCGGCTTTACACCGCGGCCTCGCGGACAAACGTACTTCGTGCGTCGTAGTAATGAGCGTGTGCATATCGCCACAGGCAGAGAAGGCTCGATCTTCGCGACAAACAGACGAATACGCGTACTAAATGCAACTCTAATAGTATTTAATTTTTGCGATTAGAGCAGTGTGGTATCCTGAAAGATGGTCCTCCCCATGAAGTCTACATTCGGTCAAGAAAAGGGCGGTGGGCGTTGTTTACGTGTACCGCGTAAGATAAAAAAACTTAAAAAAAAAGCTCGATTTAGCTTATTTCCCCCCCCCCCCCCCCCTCCCCTATGACTACACGCAGACGTCCTAGATTGTACCACAAGCGTTGCATTACTCGTCTTCTCAGTTGCCGCGGGAGCAGTAACCTCCGTTGTAAAACATCAGATTGCAGATTCCGTTTCCCAAAACGCGCAAATTAGATAATCTTTGGTTCGCTCCTTTCTTTCTTTTTTTTTAATATATATAAGGAAAATTAGGTTTTAACGAAGTTGATGTTAACCTGTTCCCTGAAAAATGGACCGCGCTTGGGGAAGTCTAGTTTTCGAGAGTGAGTTACCTTTCGTAATATAATAAATAACTACACGAGCTTCTGCCTCTCTCTGACATAACCTAACGCAAGACCAATGCTTTAAGTAATTTGCGTGCGCTATTCGTTCTCCACCAGTTTTTAATTACGTTGTAGTTGTCCGTTTGTCGTGTTTGTGATGTCAGCCGATTTTGCCCGTGGGACGGCAAAACTATATTCAGCTATGATGGTCGGGATCTGTCTCTCTTATAGGATTATATTATTCCTTCCTTTTCCTCAATTTTTCCATTACACGGTATACTAATATATTGCTGTCATATTTTTCATACTAATGTTTTATGCATGAAAAGGGGCAAAAAGTGAGAGGCAACACAGGATAAGGCGTATGCTTTGTCCCGTGTTGCTTTTCACAAGGCAATACAGTTCAACGTCTTGTCCCGTGTTGCCTCTCTTTTTGTCTGTTTATTGCGGCGAAGCTGTATACCTCTACCAACCAAGGAAATTTTCGTGCCGTCGTTGTAAGCAAAAAACTCCCGGCGAACAATTGAAGGCAAAACAGCATATCTCCTTTGAAATCAAGCATACAGCTTGCAGCTCAGTATCCGTTTCAAATAAAGAAAACCACAAAACAAGCATCAAAACCACATGATGGATGATAAGGTGCGTGTGACCAATAGGAACACCCTCCCAGACGTTCAGGTAAAGATTAGGTTTGCAGCTGCTTCGAAAGGGGTTGACGTCATTTGAAGCCCTCGTGTGAAGTGCAAAAAGCTGCCGCGGCGACGGCAGCTTGCGACGTGGGGGGTGACGTCACTAGCTTTTCATATATAAAAAGACCCGCCTCTACCCCCTTTTACCTTACGTCAGGACGCAGCGGATGCTACGAGATATCTTAGCCAATCCCGTTCTGTGGACGTGGCCCGTGAAGTGATACGCTTTCCGCGCGTCGCTGTGCCCTCTCTCTAAGGTCACGTGACACTCACACGGCCTCTGATGGGCTCGTAACATCCGCTGCGCTTAAATGTAAGAGGAAACGGAGTGTAGCAACTGATTTCATTGTTGCTGCAGCACCGCGATGAATAGGCCACGCATAGTTAGGACTGCCGACGAGCAGCCTGAACACTAGGAGCGGCAAAAGGGAAAAGAAACGGCAATACGACCAGCGGCAGTGGCGTGCAGCATTTCGTATAGTGCAGTAGGCAATCGTTGCAGGTGACACCACAGCTTCGCTGACTAACCACCTTCACAGCGTAGATTAGAGCCCCCATTTTTTATGCTTTTTTTTAATTTGCGTAGAACCTTTGTATGAATTAGAACCAACTAAGCCAACTTTCAGTCTTAATTCATAACGATCGTAATGGTCCTTCTCGTTTCAGAGAGCCAGCTCCGGTTCTTCTTCAACGTGACGCCCAGCGATTCGGCCAAAGAACAGGTGCTCCAGGCGGAGTTCCACCTTTACAAGCTAAAACCCAAACACAGGTTCGTCGACAAGCTCGGAGACGCCAAGTCCCACTTGCTCGAGGTGAGGACTCTTCTCTGCCGTTATAGTCCCCATGGCACCTGACAACTCAGGAAAAGCAGGGGCGTGGCTAGTGCCGCCCGGGCATCTCACTATTGCCCCGCAGCCAATCTGGAGAACCAATCACACAGCCAGAAACTTTAATATCTTAAGCCACGCCCTGTGATTCTTAAGCTGTCAGTGGCTGTAACTATCGCTAAAAGCCGCTTTCTTTTTCTCTCTCGTAATAACAAGAGAATATTTATTGATACAAGTCAGGAAGCTTGTAATATCAAGTGCAGTGAACAGCCTGCGAGTCCTTCTTTTATTACTGATAATGAGGTATGTGTTTCTACAAAGCGTCACCCTAACAGTGACGAAAATAATCCCTGGAGAAGGGGAACAAGAGGGACAAAGGACAAACACAAATTTGTGTTTGTCCTTTGTCCCTCTTGTTCCCCTTCTCCAGGGATTATTTTCGTCATTGTTGTCCAGCTCGCTTGCACCTTTGCATTTAATTGTATTATAATCATAACCCTAACAGTGAAACTGTAAAACCTATCTTATAGAAAAGGGAGGAGTTTAATTCTATAGGGTTGCCTAATGTTCATGCGTCTGTGTTGGGGTCCTGACAAAAAGCCAGTTTATGGCTGGATGCCTCTTTCTTTTTTTTCTTTCTTTTTTTTACCAGTGGGACTCACGCTGTTTCTTAGCAACCTTTTTTTTTTTTTAGTTGTCGCGTGGTGCCGTTATTGGGTACTACAGAAACTGACACAACCTCAAAAAGAAAACAAAATGTGAAAAAAAAACACACACACAACGCTGAGGCACCCTAGCTGGTATAGTTGCCTTGATAACATTTTTTTCTTCTGATATCTGCCTCGTTATATCCGTAAAATCTGTTACAACTTGGCTGGTAGGCGCCTGAATGACCGCTTTTCTGCTTTACACCAGTGCAGTAGGGTGGTGTCCCCCTCCCCTGAAGACGCCAGCGTTTTTCCGCGAGCTTCACCCACTGCACCGATGCGAACTAGAGAAATGGACATTTCACATTCGTACATATCAATCAAGCAAGGTCAACAGCTTTGCCGTGCGTGTCCCATCACGTCAGGGAGTTGCGGAATGCTTTTATTTTGGTGCGGAACAAATAGTTCGAACGTTTGCTCTGGGCAAACTTTGTAATCTCCAAGGGCCGGAGAACGCGGGCTCGGTCTATGAACAAAAGCAACAGTAAAAGAAAATAAAGACGAAAAAAAACTCGATAAAACGAAATACGCCGATGTCGACATCTTCTAGGATCCCCGATTGCTACGACGGCGCTCTCTTCGCTTCGTCTTCCACCCGAAGTCAAATGATCGAGTCCACGAAGGAGACTTTGTAACATCAAGCCGTGGGGACTTATTTTCGCCTGAATTTTTTAAAACCTATTCCAGCTTCTCTTCGTCCCTCGAGACAAGGCTACGTCAATACGGAGTTTTAAGCTGCCAAACAAAACAAAAAAACAAGAACGAATGTTCGTGTAGCAGACAAGAAATCCGCCAAGAAAAGCTGTAGGTCGAGGTGAACAGCGCCGCGTCTGTACAGGAAAAATGAAAACAGAAAAGCTAAAGGTCGATCGAGAGCGTTTTAGCCGAACGACCAACTGTACGTGCGTTCACACAGCTATAGCGAAACCACATACCGACAGCGGCGAACGGAGAGTTCAATTCGTACTGACCGCGACAAGCATGCCGGAATCGTCGGAGAAAAAAACAAAACAAAACCCCTAAGAAACCGACTGAGCAAACAGACCGAGGCAACTGCAACAACAAAAGGCGGATGGGAAAAGACGAACTTTGGACAGCTAGACAAAAGGGGGAGCGCAATGATGTGGAAAAGCGGAGTGGAAAGACGACGCGAATGCCGTGGTTGGAAAAAGAAGAAACGTCCGTGTCTTTCGCTGCAAGCAGACAGCAGGGTCCGCCATTCGTTCGTCGACGATTTGTCCCGGCAACAATAGAGGAGCCGGAACAAAAGAGGGCATGACGTTGATGGCGACAAAGACCACGACCACGACAAAAGCGAACCACAAAGAAAAGAAAAAAAGACAGAGAAAAGAGAACGCGCGGCACGAGCACGCCAACTCGTCCCGCGGAATGGCGACATGGGGTTGAAACACGCGAGCTTGCCGGAGGGTTTGTTAGGGGGGCGGACACAATGAGGCTATGTTTGAGACGGTTTTGGAACATTTCTTAGTACTAGGAGCTTTTTTTTTTTTTTCTTTTCTTTGGAGGTGCGGGTTGGCGTGACGTACTTAGCGTCTTTATTCGTATGCACGAAGCGCGGCACGGGCCTTATATTACTTGCGCGAATGGAACTCTGAGTGTTCTTACGCTGGTTCTGCCTAGATTTCCTCGTGACAAAAAGTGGCGACGAAAGCGGATTGGTCGAGCTATTTTGTTTATTTTGCTTTTGCTCAGACGTGCGGAGTTGTCTGAGCGAAAACGACGCACGGCACTTCGAAAAAGTACCAATGAGAAAACGTTGAGCGTATACTGTATTGTTATAGCTCGTTTTTGATAGTGGCACAGATAGAAAGGAACTTTCATGGAAACACTCGATGGAAACTAACTCGCGGGTGCTTGCACTCTCACGCACGAACATAAACAAAAGCGAACCAGAAACCGAACAAACGAACCACAAAAGCCCACGGAAAGCCAAAAATTCACACACATACACACACAGGTGCACAGACACCAATATGGTTCTGAGGGAATTCACTCATTAATTTGCAGTCGCATATACATATAAACAGGCATGACACGTACAACTATAAGCTCCTATAGGTACACCACGTGCATGGCAACGCGCGTGAGTAGGTATTCACAGACACAACCTCACACAATCACAGACACAGAGAGATAGACAGACAACTGGCTGACAAACCATACAGAATTACATTCACATAAATACGAAGACAAACAATGGGCAGGGAGAGAGACAGGAGCAGAATACAAACAGAGAGATGCACGCGTACCGTTTTAAGCTCCCAGATATATGTGTGGCATATATGGCATCGCGCGCGAACAGACATACACACGCACATTATCGCGCAAACGCGGATGCAGACATTTACACAGACAACGGGATGACATACCTACAGAGGCGCATCCACACAAACACAGACATGGACAAATGGCCTGTATAGAAACGGACAGACGGAAGCAACATAAAATAAGACGAGACACATACGTATCCTCATAAGCTCCCAGATCTACTACATCAATGGCAACGCGCGCGAATAGAGGCACAGAACGCTCACACAAGCACGTATAAAGAAGGATAGACAGACAGCAGGTTGGTAGACGCACAGAAGCACATCTACACAGACAAAGATAAATAGTCGGGCCACACGGACAGTCAAGCAGAAGCAACGTACAAACGGACAGATGCACACGAACTGTTATAAGCTTCCAGATACACTACATATGTGGCAGCTAGCACACGAAAGCACAGACACACATACACATAAAACATGTATGCAGGCAGACAGAGAACAGACTGACACACAGAATTACATGTACACAAGCGCAGAGACGGACAATTAAGCAGGTAGACCGGCACACGGAAACACATCCACACAAATACAAAAGTAGACAAATAGGCAGGCAGGCAGACACACGGAAGCAACACACCAACAGACCAACATACGCGTACCTTTATGAACTCCCAGGCATAGCACATATATGGTAACGCTGCGTATCTATATACGCACACTCGAACACAGCTACAGACAGTTAGACAGACAACAGACTGCCAGGCACGCCGAATCAGATTCACACAATCAAAGACGGGCAAACAAGCAGGCATTCAGGGAAACAGATAGGCAGACGTAGCAATCTGCAAACGAACACTCCTACCGCTATTAGCTCCCAGATAAACTACATCTATGGCAACGCGCGCGAACAGACACAGACAAACACACGGATACTGACAGACTGAGAACAGACTGGCTCCAGACAGGCACATTCAGACAGGCGCAAAGGCGGACAACTATAGTTGGTGAAAGTTTAAAAGTACAGGGGAAAATCCCTTCACGTCTTTCAACTTTAGCAGAGCGAACGCGGGAGAGGAGGCAACCTCCTCTCCAGCGCCCGCTCTGCTGAAGTGGAAAGAGGTGGGATGAGTTTTACTTTTTCCTCTTAATCTGTCACCGACTATAGACAGGTAAAAAGACCGACTGCTCAACAGGATCACATCCGCATAAGGGGTTGGCCGAGTCGGCACACGTGTGTCGGGCTCAGATTAGCAGTCTCGTCCTTAGATGGATGCACCTCGCTCGAAGTACCCCATTTATGGATCGTTTAGGCTACGCTGAGGAGTCGGGAGCAACCCCGCCGGGTTGATTATGGACGCTCTCCGAAATGCGAAGCGACGCGCTTCCATTTGTCACTCGGCGTACGGAAAGAGGAGTCCGTTATCGAGAAACCAACAACTCCCCCGTTCTCCAGTCTGCGGTTTTTTTGTTTTCTTTTTTTACAATGTATATCCGGACTGAACGAAAACGCTTCGAGCGAAACCAGTGCGTACAGTCAATTCGTTGGACCGAAAAAGATGCTACGAGCCATCTCAAGTCAATCCGAAGTCGTATGAGTGTCACGTGACCTTCGCAGCGATGCGCGGGGAGCGTTGTCACGTGATACACTCACAGCGGTCGTCTGGCAGGGATGACTCGTAGCCTCCGTTGCGGTCCAATGTAAGGTTGTACGGTGGATAGTACGCTTCGAACGGCGGTCGTTGTATGTGGAGTTCGCTAAACTTTAGCTGCTCGCATTAAAAGTTTGAATGAAGTCTTTTTTTTTTCTTTTTTTTGATGCCTGTGATTTTGTTTCTTCTTTTTTTTTGTCATCTCGGTTAGCGTTTTTACCACGAGATCTTTTATGTGCTTTGCTGTTCTTTATTCATGAAATGCTTATGTATTAAAATAGGCTTCGAATGATACCTACGACAAATCGAATGTCGCAATTCGAGACGAATTTACGAGT